GTCTCAGATTAAAAGCAAATAGTTCTAACCTTCAGTGGGCTAAAGCCAAGATTCATATTTTTATCTTTCTGAAACAAATCAGTGCAGTTGCTAAAACTTTTCTATTGCTCACTTTTCCACAAGTAAGAAATATAGAATAGTTTTAGTTTTTTTGTGTTATGCTCCTTCTCATTTGCTTTATATGTGTAGTTATTGCTAAATTCTCCCATGTCCCCCTCTAACTGGTTTTTGCATTTCTGCCTCTGACTGCTGGCCCCTATTCATTTCCTTCCCATTGCTTTTCCAGCCTCTCTGTGCTGGAGGCCTCCTACTTCTTACAGAATGCCTCGTCAGAATGCCTTGTTAAATGGGACCCCCTAGAGCTATCCAGGTAGCAGTCGCCCTAGAGTGAAATACCACTAATATTGATGAAAGGCTGACCTTCCAGTTTTGCTCAGATTAATCATTAACTATCTTTAAATAGTTACCATACAACTTAGAACATGTGTCTTTGTGATGTTTGACATAGGGCTCATGTTTAAAGCCATTGTTTGCCCACTGCAGCATCATATAGATGATTCTTCTGGACCTTTCAGTCTCCATAACTGCCTATCTTTCTGAGACATCTTTCAAAAACCCCAAAACAGAAATTTATGTATAACACATATCTGCAATTTAAGCCAACTCCATCCCAAGCACATCCTCTAAATGTGGAAATAATCTATTCAGGGGTGTGTGTGTATGTGTTTGCGTGTGTGTGTGTGAGAGAGAGAGAGAGAGGCAGACAGACAGACAGAGCAAAGAGACAAAAACATATCTATATAAATAACTATAAAAATAAAAATATAATATAGATATTACATATATAAAACATATCTATATAAATCCGTGTTGGCCTTTATATCTTACATGATTCATTGATGTACCATTTTAAGCCTTTTAACTAGTTGCTGCCTCTTTCAAAATTATTTTCCCCAAAATGGATTAGGTGACCTTCCTCTGGGTTCCCTTAGTTACACTACAGGGGACATTGGAAAGGTAACTGTACCCCTGTTAATTCTAGTTTTACAATCATTAAAATGGTGATTGCTTGAGAATTGAAAGATTTGCCTGCCGTCATTCGTAGACACCTGGGAACTGAGCCCAGTGCTAGCTGGCTCAAGGCCTGGAGAACCTGATAAGTCTAGCCACCTCTTTAAAGGGGAGAGTCGTGAGAGAGTAAGTACATTTTTCCTGAGTGTAACATAAGCCCTGACTATTCACGGGCAATGCTCTATAGAGAATCCAGCTTTCCTTATGTGGCAGGACTCTATCTTGCAAGGACAGAATCACCAGCAGCTACACAACTGATCAGGAACTCATCTGCTTGGAAGGACACTGCTTCTCTGTGGCTAACTTTTTGGCTTCCTTTAATTTTCTGTGCATCTGGATAAACAAAATGGGACTTGATCCAGTCTGCAGTGTGCATGTTCATTGGTATGGATACAATAATTCATGCATAACCCTTGGGAACACACTGCACAGGTGCTTACCTTTCTGTGTACTAAAATATTCTTTGTGCCCACATCTTCTTTGAAAGATAACCTAGAGTAAGCACCATGACTACTTATCTTAATATCATCCACCCCTTATATAGTTCCTGATACATCATGAGGCCTCAAATATTTAACTGTGTGGAACACTATAATGCAGTTGTTTGTATAAGACTTTATGTTTTAAAATGTATAATTTTTAAAAAATTTTATTTGGGCTTTGCAGCCATTGGCTTTTAAACTGTGGTTCTAAGGAATACTGTCATTCTCTTGAGCTGAACCAAGGGCTTTTACATCTAAAATCTTAGCCTTTTCTCAATTAGCTGAAAAAATGCCAACGAGTAGCCTGATTTTTCCCATATTTGACTCCCTTCCCACACCATCATTTCCTTTTTCTTAAAAGCTTTGATTTCTATAGTAAGGCTACACCTGGCTAAGCACAGAATTATGTTTTACCATTTTAATTTACATATTATTCCATAAAAATTAACTTGACTTTCAAGAGTTCAGCTTTTTGAGCAGATGAGATAACACTGTTCACAACAATGGCAAGTACAGTCACCTCCTTTTTATTGGGGAGAAGACTTTCTGTGTGAAAATTGCATACCAGATAGTACCATGTCTCATGTATGCCTTATTTCATTTAAGCCTCACATCATATCTGTGATGTGTTGTTATCCCCAGGTTTTAAATGATAAGACAGTGCCATAGAGCAAGGAAAGGTAAAGCTCTATTTGACTCCAAATCCGTGGTTCTCTCCACTGTACTGACACGTGATAGTTCTTAGTGTTAGTCATCTAATCTTACTGTTAGATTTTAAGTTCCTTTGGTGCAAAGGTTATGTTTTATTTACTTCCCCTACACCCCAAGAGGTTCTATAAAACCAGATTAGTCATCCTCTCTTTTAATTAGACTTGCTTGTGAGGTGTGCCTTTTACTTTATTATGTATATCCAAGGATTTGTCCAAATCATCTTCAGTCCTTGTAATTACTTGCCTTCTGTTATATACTAGGACATCTTTCTTTGTCTCTAAGTCAGGAGCTCAGTTTGTTTCTGACAGTTACCTTCAAATGGAGCTTTGACAATTTGAAAAATTATTTTTAAATCAATTTTAAACTGCCAAAGGAAGGGTTGTTTAAAACTCTATGAGATAGCAGTTCAGATTTAAAGATGCTCATTATTCCAATATGAAGTGATTTGTACTTGTTATTAACACATTAAGGCAGCCAAAGAAAAATTAGAAGGTGACTCAACAGGATATATTAAAGTACGGAATAAAGAAAAAGTAGAAAAGAAGAAAAGAACAAAATTTATTCCTTATCAGTTGAGAATATGTTTAAGAAGATCTCGTCATCTTTCAGTCTGTTTTTTGTTAATGTTCCAAATAGTTGGTACACTAGTACAAAGCTGAACTGCCTTCTTCTGGGAGACACACTATAATACTATGGTATACTGATTGAATACAGAGACCTAAATATATGTTGTTATAAAATAATGTCTTAAATAATTTAACATGTTATTAAAAACAGCAGATGTTTACAGTAAGTGAGGATTAATCATCATGTTCTTAAAGTTGAAGGAAAACTAACCAGCATGGCTTTTTTAAGAAAAATATATTTATTACCCAAGCAAAATAACAGATCCTTCTCTCTCTCTCTCTCTCTCTCTCTCTCTCATATGTGTGTGTGTGTGTGTATATAATATATATGTGTGTGTGTGTGCGTATACACACAGACACACACACACACACACACACACACATATATATATAAACTCATCTGACAAAACAATGTAACTGAAATTGTCAGTCACTCAAATTTTTGTTTCTGTGCTTCTAAATGAATTTATTTTTGACTTTGATATACCATGCTGGTTTTACTTGCTTTTCATTCGTTCATTTTGTTGTGTTTATTTGTTTTTCTCCAATTTGAGATTACTGACATGCAGTGCACTGGTCCATGTTAAATGTTTGGAAACAAACCAGAGTTTCATGGAGTCTGCCCATTCTCTTCTTCATTTTAAAGATAATGGGTTGCCTCTGAGGATGCTATGTTTAGATTGACTTGTTCACTTCATGTTCATGGTAATTCAGGGGCTTCACATGAGAAGAAGTTAGTCTTCAGATCACCTGAAGGAGGGGAAAAAATAGTTGTACAAGACTCCGACTCTGTTGTCTTAAGATTTTATGGTACCTTGTATTATTTCTGTTCTCACTCGAGAAGAGTGGCCTACCATACAACTATTGCTATGTCACTTGCATGAGAAATTTTTTAGGTGACGATGAAGGAGATGGGGAATAATATAGTGAAGTGTCTATTAATAAAAATAAATAATCAAATATGAACTTGGAATTTATAATATCTTTTGGCGTAGTGTTTCATCCTAAGTAGCATGCTAAATTCTTATTATAAAATGTTAGTTTTTTAAACACAGAATAAAAATATTGCAACACACAGAAAAATCAGATTTGTAAATAACTTCAAATAGATTTACTTTTTATAACTACCATATAAAATGAGATATAAAAGTGTTCTTTTGAACTGCAATAGCTTGAGAGAGTTGGGGAATTAGATTCAGAATATTGATTAATGGGGAATTGCATTTCTACTGTTTTCTACTTTTTTCCCAAAAGCATGCAAATAAAAAGTTAATTTTTATATGAGAGCAGTTTTTAAGCCACAAACGGATTTTTTGAGATTTTCCTCTATAGTGGCCAATTTTCTATGAAACAAATTATTTTAGGTCTAATTGCAAGCAGAGTAGTTAGGCCTCTAGCTCTGCTAAGGTTGAATTTCATTTGAACTTTCTAATAGTACGGTCTTTTTTTTTTTTCAGAATTTAATAACTGACTCAAATATTTAATAGTGGAAGCTTTCATTAAATTAAATAGAAATCAGGATATATTTTTAGAAGAACTAACTTATTTTCTTTATCAGTTTTATCTACTTTAGGAGAAAAGGAAGAGAATGGAGCCAATCTCTTTGTGTACTTAAAAAGACATTAATGCTATAACCCTAGCACATAAATTATTTCAGTATATGTCATCATTCAAAGATTTGAGAAGCGCCAAATGGCTGCAATAACTATACTTCCAGTTCTACTGAATTGCAAATTGTACTGACTGTGTGAACCTCTTCACTTGTTTGCTGGATAATCATTCTTTTTAATACTCAAATATGTTTTCTAGATCAGTTTTAGATTCCACACTGTCAATGTTGGCATTGCCTAATAGTTTCTGGTTAAGTACAGTGATTCGTTTTGAAATGCAAGTGGGGAAAGATGAGAGTTAAAAATTTTGTTTCCATGTGTCATTCTATAAATAGATGACAAAAGATCATTAAATGGATTAATTTACAAGCATCCTTGAGAAATAGAATTTTTTTTACATAAAAGCACATTGTAAACCTTTTTAATTAAATTGCATTGTACCATGCACTCTCTTCCCCTAGGGGTTCTCTTGACCTCTCACCTCTTATTTTGTCCAACAGGCACGCCACTGCTGGTGAGGAGAAGCAGTGACCCAGTGCCAGGCCCACCTGCTGACACTCAGCCGAGCGCTTCACACCCCGGTGGCCAGAGTCTAAAACCTGTTATTCTAGTAGGTATCCTGCCGTTCGCATTTCTAATGAAAGATCAAAGTGCCATACCCATATCCTAACTAGGACTTTGCAGTCTTAAGTCGATAGAGATCTTTTGATAGGATATGTAGTATAGTTATAATAATAGCTAGTATGAGCTATTTATTACAAGTATATGGTTATAATGACAGCTGTTATTTATATAGCACTGATTATGTGCAGAGCACTGTTTTAATGCTTTACATTGTCACCTAAACTCCCACATCAAAGGAAGAACATGTTTTTGTCTCCATTTACTGATAATGAAATTGAGGCAGAGGAAGTTTTAGTAATTTGTCTAAGGTCACAACTAGCAAGTGACAGAGCTGACAATTTAACCCAGGTGGTTTGGCTCCAAAGTCCATGCTCTTAACCAGTGTACTACACTGCTGAATTTCTTTGTCCTCCTGCTTCATCATACCCAAGGATATAATTTATAATTTTTGTGATTCAATGAGATGCTTCGTGAATCATGACATATTGAATAGTGATTCAGTTTTAAGATACCAATATTGTGAATATGTGATGCCAGTACTGGGTTTCGAAAATTCAACATTGAGATTAAAAAATAATAATAAAATTACATACTAAAATTGCTTATAACTAGATATACTTACATCAGCTATATTTATAACTGATAGATTAAAGGGAAATTAGTTTCCTAAGGAGACAATGTCCTTCTTTTCTATGGAACTGTGGGATCTTTTTGCTCAATGCTGAGTTTGCTTTGCAAAGTTGTAATTGTGGTTTGATCCTTTGAAATGGCCTGAGAGTTAGATTTTGGTTAATGACTATATGTCATTGCAATAGGTGATTTTCAATAATATAACCATATCAAAAAGTCTCCTAAAAGCAAGGTTCTTCCTCATAAGTCTGTCTATATATAGTGCCTTAAGAAAAGGCAATGTTTTATAGGCATATAAGGTTGTTGAATTAGCTAAACAGATTTTCCCAGTCTGGTACAAAATATAGCAAGAACCCCAGTGCCAGTTCATATGAGCTAGGAGTCACTATATCAAATCATTGAGTATTTACTAATCAGTTTGTGGCAATATTTTGGCTTTTCTTTCTGTAAACAAGGAAGCAGGTATCCTGAAAATATTTTAGATGTAGTATTTCTCACTCTATATCATTTTAAGAAAACATATTTAATGGAAAATTACTTTAATAAAAATCAGGTGTATGCATTCTACTGTAATGATTAGTATAAACAGAACCAGTATGTGGTATGATGTATGTGTGTGTGTGTTTAACGCACACTGATTGAGACCTAAATATATTGGATTGGAGGAAGAAAAGAACTGTATAAATGAGAGAAGAATTATATAAAAGAGAAAATATATGGTTTACTGCTTATTTTAGTGTGCCCTAAAATGAGAGTGTATCTGTTCATGTTACCATGATTTACATGCAGAAAACCTACCAATTTGTTCCATATTTCCATCATTTAGGCACCATGCTTAGACCCCTTGAAAATACATCAGTATTGCTTTCCCTGGAAGAAATGAGAGCTATTACCTTTCTGATAGATTTTATATTCTTACCAAAATATGATATCAGTGAGTTCTAAGTTAGGATATTTGGGGAAGGAGATATATGATTACTAGCAAAGGTGTATATCCTAATTCAAGGAGAAATGCTAGCACCCAAAATCCTTTTGCCTAACGATCTGTGAGTTATCAAACACCGGCCCAGTCCACTTGTATCAACAGAAAAAAGGAAGCATGTATTTCCTCCTTTCATCTCAGTGCTCTCTGTGCATGATGAAGCGCAGACCTGAGACCAGAAGAACAGAGTCTGGCCTTTTCCTTGCCCTAGAATAGTATCACATTCTAGGCTTCTCTTACTATAAAATAATCTCCATGCAAACTTTAAGCCTTAACAGTTCCGAGTGCAGGCATCGTGCCTTATTTATCTTTCTATCTCCAGTTGCAAGTACATAGAGGGTGTTCAGTGTACATGTGTTGGACTTAAGAATGCAAGATGCATGTTAGTCTGGAAAAAATTCTGGAAATTCTCAGCAATTACCCAGCTTTTCTAATTTCAGCTATTCTCGTGCTCCCCCAAAGAATCTACCTGGTAAAAGTTTATCTGTTCCAAGATCTGGTTCACCCAGACAAGAGACAGACAGCTTAACTGCCCCATTGTGCAGGGTAGGCAACGTTTGTAAGTAAAGACATCTAGGTGTATTTATTTTAACCTGGAAGAAAAATGTGTGTGTGTGTATTATAATTGCATTTATCCCTGCATATCCAAACTAATGGACTATTTAGAACTGCATTGTCCAGTATCATAGCCATGGGCTACATGTGGCTATTGAGCACTAAAAATGTATTCTAAGTGTAATATGCACATCGGAATTCAAAAATTGAAATATGAAAAAAAGTAAGGTGAAATATTAATAACTTTCATATTGACTATATGTTGAAATGATACTTTGGTATATTGGGTTGAATAAAATATGTGATTAAAATTATTTTTACCTGTTTCTTTTTACTTTTTTAAGGATATTTCTATGAGAAAATTTAAAATTACATCTGTGGATCACATTCTATTTCTATTGGACAAAGCAGCTCTAGACAGAACTAAAATTGGATATAGCATTAATGAAATGGTTTGTGACCCTTGGGAGAAGTTCTATGAGTCGCACATCATCTCTGGGGTAACAGTATGATTAGGTTTGCCTGGGGCAGTCCTAGTCCATGCCTGTTATTCTGGCATAATTATTAATACTGTCCCCACTAACTCTCAAAGGTGTCCATGTGTGGATGATAAATTATGTGGCACCTTACATATAGCCCTATAGTTGCTTTTACTATTTGCTCAGTGATGAGGAGCAGTCTTTCAAGGAAGCCATAGGAACATAACCACGACTTTAACGTCGGAGCACACTACGGAGAGAGCTCTTTGTGGTGAGGGCCTGAGCCCAGGGAGCACAGAACTGGAAACTGCAGATTCTTTTCCATCTCTCAGATTCCATCATTCTACTTGTGCTTCTTCCATAACTTCAGCTGCATCATACTTAATTCCTATGATTTGATGAGTGATGATGAATATGGGGAGTGTGTGATAATATAGCTATGCAGCAACTAATATGAAAAATAATCACTTAAAAAGCTCTCTTCAATTGCATTTCATTTCAATATTCAAGGGGGAAAAAAAAACAATCAAAATTTCCATCTCTTAAACAGAGTGTTCACATGTAAGTAATTCACAGATGGCAGAGCCCCAAGTGGGTTATGTTCAATCATTCCCAAGAAATGAAACTTACTTATAACTCACAGCATACGAAGCTGTAAGGATGAATATTTGACACATTTGATTATGTTGAAATATTGCCTTTAAAACCACAGTTGATGACTGTTATTTTTAGTTGCACTTCATTAGACTTACTACAGAGGGAAGAGTTTTCTTTGATTTCCAGAGATACGTGTTTTTGAAAAGTTGGAAAAGTTGCACTTGTTTTCTGGCTGTTTAAGTTGTTACAAATTAGTTATTTAAGATGTACACCTTGAGACAATTTGGAGTTTTAAAAAGGATTTAAATTTAAAAAATTAGATTCTCTGCAAGTCTCAAATTCTGTTTATAATGAAAAGCCACCAGATCTTATTCTTATTTCAAGTATCACCAGATAAACAGCATGAAAAGTTGTTTCCTTTCTTTCTCTATTCATAAACCTATCCAGTTAATCAGAATAGCGTAATTATTAATGTGCAAATAGTAATGACTGTTTTTCTTTCAAGGCAGTAGAAAAATCTAATTCTACTGACTGCTTTTGGATTAAAGAAAGAGAATCCTAGGGGCAAGCTGTTGTAGTGAGAGTCAGCTTATTGGATGTCTACCTTCCTTGCCATGATTGTAACCCTGCGTTCTTGGCTTAAGGGCATGCCATAAAACCAGGTTCTTGAAATTGATGTTCCTGAATTTGCGGATGGAAGAGAACTCTAAAACAGATGTGACTTTTTCTTAATATCCGGTTAACTACTATGGTTGTTTTGTGTTTTAATGACTGTTTATAGTTTCGCATTTAACCCCTAAAGCAAAACAAATCCTGCAGGGTGAGTAAATTAAAAAGTGGATTCCTGAAATTTATAATGCTGTGGTTGTTCTCTGATAGTAAATGACTTTGTTCTAAAACTGTTACTGGTCTTTCATCACCAAAATAAATTAAGAAAATACTGGTTTGTCTTTTAAAAGTCCGTGTCTATAATATATACATTTCATTTCAAAAAAATAACATGGCAGCCTTTGAGGTTGCTAAATTGAAAGTCCATGGATGAACTTGACCATGGATGAACTTGACTCTAAAGTTTTATGCCACAGCATGGAGAAAGAGAGAGAGAGGAGAGAGGAAGAAGAAAGTGTGTGTTTCATGAAGGAGACTCTATTACTGTTACCAAATTTTAAAAGGAAAACAAAAGATCAAGAACTATTTGTTTTGGGGTTTCGGATGAAATAATTTGGAGAAACCACCAATTCTCAGAATATGATGAATGATAGAGATTAAAAAGTAAAGTGAAAATTGCCACCAACTTTCAAATATGTTTTAAATAATAAAGATGATGTGGTACATATATATAAAATGGAATATTACTCGGCCATAAAAAAATGAAATCTTACCATTTGCGACAACATGGATGGACCTAGGAGGTATTATGCTAAGTGAAATAAGTCAGACAGAGAAAGATAACTATCACATGATCTCACTTATATAGGGTATCTAAAGAACAAAATAAATGAACAAGCAAAACAGAAACCGATTCATAGATATAGAGAACAAACTGATGAATACCAGATGGGAGAGGAGTTGAGGGACTGGATAAAAACATGAAGAGATTAAGAAGTACAAATTGGTAGTTACAAAATAGTCACGAGACTGCGAAGTACAGCGTAGGGAATATAGTCAATATTGCAAAAACTGTGTATAGTGCCAGGTGGGTACTAGACTAATCAGGGGGATCACTTTGTAAAGTAAATAAAT